AGAGCCATCAGTGACATGGCCATCGAAGCCGGGAGGAGGAGTGGACATTGCGAAGTGGAATCGCTAGAATCGAGCAAAATTTTTGGTTGAGATCTCAGGTATAGAGCAACCAGGCTCTGATACCATGAGAAGAAAATGAGTAGATAGGGTTTTTGTGGAAGGATTCTCAACAGAGAGCTCCTTGGTTTGCATTTCCATTTATATACAAGGCTGTACAGAGAAGGTAAAGTAGATTAGCAACGGCTAATCTACAGTAAAAACTAACAACTCAAACTAACGAATGAAAACTGTACAGCTGGCTAACTAACTCCTAACAGCGATTAATTGAAACGGCAGCGGCTTGGAATTCCACACTTCTTCTTGCAACGGAACGGCAACGTTTCACTTCGATCCTTGTTTCTAGATAGGAGAAGAACGGCGTCGTTCCGACTTGGACTTGGTCTGCACTTCGTGGGAGGCTTGCCTTCTTCCTTACAGCAGCAGCTTGATGCAGGGTAATAGAATGAAGTCCGAGCTGCTGCTGTTGGTGATTCAAATCATCATTCCAATAAGTGGTTAATTCGCTAGCATAGTATCAGAGTCTAGAACCGAAAGGTCATGGTTTCGAATCCTCATAACGACCTCCATTTCATGCCAATTCGTTTAGCACAAGGAATGGTATGTCCAACCTGTGCAAACTAAAGTCTCGTGGTTTGGCAGCACAAGGGTTCAACCTGTGCAAACCGTAAAAATCCACAATTCGGCATCGACTTTCGTTTGAGGGGGCGTATAAGAGGTTAAAAGGCTTAACTATTCCTTTCCCAACAACTCGAGTTATTGGGACCAAGTGGTTAGTTCGCTAACACCGATACCTTGTACACAAATTAAATACTCAACCCATTTGGTATGTGAATTGTAGAAAAAGCGTGTCCTGTATCTAAGCTATCCAACCAATTAGCATCACATACAATATATTTGTTGCCACCTGAATCAATTAACGTTTGGTAAAGATAAATGGAATTGTCTGCCATGTAAATTGTAGGGTCTGGAGACTGCGATGGTCAAGGCGTGAAGAAGTAATTGAGCTGATTAAATTGAGCAAGGGTGAGTTCAATAAGAGGACTTTCCCTGACGTCAACGTTCGCAGTCAGCGGCAAGTCATCTCCTTGCTGCCTTCGATTCCATGTTGACTGCTCATTTCGGTGCCCTTTTCCTTCTGCCGAGGAGTGGCCGATCTTCTTGAAACAGTTCTCCTTGTTGTACCCACATTTATTATAGTGACGGCAGCAGGATTTTCCTACCGCATCGTTCTTCTTCTCATTATGAGCTCAAAAAGCTACCCCGTCAATTGAGAAGCGCCTCCCTGCGGTAATTGGGCGCTGCTGCTCCTAAGTGACAACTAATTGGTATGCCTCTACTAGTGCCGGGGTTGGCTTTGTTAGTGTGATATATGATCCACGATTGAACCTCTCCCAAAATCTCGAGTTATTGGGATCAACTGGTTCTTGATATGGTATCAGAGCCTTATATGATCGAGAGGTCTTGTGTTCGAATCCTGGTAACCCCCATTTGTTAAGCACATGGTATGTGGACCTGTGCAAACTTCAAGTCCTTGTGAGTGACTTTCGTTTGAGGGGGCGTGTTAGTGTGTGATATATGATCCACGATTGAACCTCTCCCAACAACTCGAGTTATTGGAATCAACTGATTCTTGACAGGCTTAAGGCTCAGAATCTGAGAATGAATGACCAATAAAGTGTCCTCCGGTCCGAGCAGAAAATTGAAACACTTTCCATTCTCTTGCTTTTCTCAGACTTTTTTGGTCACGTCACATTACAAATCCGCAATTGCATCATGATATTTTACCCACAGCTTGCAGCTTGTCCCACAACATCCTCATCTTGGTATAAAAGTTCAAAATGATGAGTCTCTCTTGCCGGAGTGAGTTGATTATGCGACAAAGCTCGTAAGCTCATGTGGTCGAGCATGCGATGAAGCACTTTTGGAGATTAGTCACCTCCATGCTCATGGTCATCTTCATCCAATCTTTCCTAGTGGCTTCGCATCGACTCCAACCTTCGTCCTTCACACTAGGGGTGGGCATCGGTACGGTTCGGACCGGACCGCACCGCATTTTTATAAACCGCACCGAACCGCATTTATGTAAACCGCACCGCATCTTTGACCGCGAAGTTATCGGTGCGGTCAAACCAAACCGCATAAATTAACGGTTTGGTATGGTTTAGACCGCACCGCATTTTGACCGCAAATGACAAGAAAAGAAGGAAGCTTGGAAATAACAAAAAAAAAAAAAAGGCAAGGATTCCCGCTCCGTTTCTGTGTACTGATGCAAACCTGACAAATTTATTCAATTGGGAACACAGAAACACCAAGTACATACTCGATCATCATGCCACCAAAAGTCCAAAATAGAGCTGTGAAGGCAAGAGAAGTAGAAGATGGCAGCACAAGAAGAACCATGACTGCTCAACAACTATTGAATGCTCCATTTTCTTAGTTATCTGTTGTAGTTTTGAAATAATAGCAAACAAAAAAAATGGCAGGGTTCCTCTCCACATTGCTCTGTTTCCGGCCATCAAAACAGAGCATATGCTCTGATTTCCCCATGCCTTGCATCTGCTGCTTTCTTCTTGCGGAACTCTGTTTCTTGGCTAGATCCCCTACACATGAACCCATTGAATATACTGTAAGATGGGTGGGGAAAAACATTAAACCTCCAAGAATGACAAAACATAGACAGATAGTTCCATTTGATTGCCCAGATTGCATTACCTAAAAAGATTAACAATATAATGGCTATCAGCAGACTTATATTCTTGAAATTGTATTGGACATAGCATTGGGAGCATCAGTGTATAAAGTATTAGATCCTAGGAAGTTGGAACCACTACTGATGACGGAAAAAACACCATATAGTAGTTAGTTTCTAGGAAAAGAACTATGTTTATATGGATCAGCTACAATCAAACCATTGCTCAATTGATTTTGACGGAAATATGCTACTGCTAATAGTTTGAAAAATGAACTAAGGAATATCCTAGACATTAGGAAAACTAACAAAATCTACAGATCATATGGAAAAAAGGAAAAGAGTTTGGAAAGAAAAAGAAACAGATAATTTGACCACTCCCTATCAAAGTCTCGAAGAAGAAACAATTGTACTTAAGTGAATACAATGCAGTGTAAGAAATAGAATAGAATAAGCCAGAGCAGCCAACTATCTCAAACATTAGAACAAGCCAGAGCAGCACAAACTGAAATTGGTGAGTCTATTTCCTTTTCAGCAGCAAAAAAGAACCATACAACCCATCAACATACTTAATCTTGACACCCCTGAATTGTACCTGAAACCAAAAGAACTAATTCCGACCAAACCCTACTCGAAGAACCAGTATATGCAATTAGCTCTAAAATGGTGTCCATATAAAGTAGTGAATAAACATGCAAAAGGATTTACCTAATCACAGTGATCACTCAGCTGAACTATGCATTATAAATCATCACCTGACCCCATTAATCAAATCCATGAAAAAACAGCAAATCTTGTAAAAAAACAAACAGAAGAAACATAGCCTCAGAAGGAAGGCAGTAGTGGTTTGTATGTGTACTCTTTGGGAAGGTGGATGAAGCTAAAGAGCTTCCAACTAGATTTCAGCCTTCCGTGCCTAAGTATAATGCTCTGATCCATTGGATTATGCAAGGAGGAAAGGATTCTGGAGGTGATTCAGCTGTCATAATGGATTGAGTTATAACCTCACTTACTCAAACAGTTATAACCTCACTTGCAGACAGGTGGAAGGATTGAGTTCCTTTCCTGACAGTAGCTAGCTTAGATAAAGTAGGATAATTTCTTTGTTTGGTGATATCATATCTGATAATGGCTAAGAGACACCAATCACCGCAAGTCAGTTGGGTGGTGGAAATTGATAGATTGACTGAATGAGGTTTCCCTGCCCCATTACCTAAATTCTGAAACCCCACAGAAACACACACCCAAATGCAGAAATCAACTCTGAAACCCCAATACAGAAACACACACCCAAATAAATTGACGAGTACACTAAGAAGTCAACCATAGTAAAGAAACTCACCTCACTAACACTAAGCACATTGTTGTTGGGTATCGGTGCTTGAGCTCGTTTTCCCTGTGAGCCTTTTGATTTCATCTTTCCGATAACAGTATCTTTTGTTTCCCTATTGCCTGATATCGAAATCACAGATTCATTACAGCCCTACAAGCATATGAAAGAAGACATCAGGAACATAATATACAATAAACATCAGGAACATAATATACAATGAACATCCATGGATTTCCATTACTGAGCTATTCTCAAGATAAACTTCAAAATCCTTTTTTCATTCATTTAGTAGTTCACATTCTGGGTCATGAACAAAATCGCCAAAAAAATCCTAAACATGGTTTTATACAGCATACAAACTCTTATACACACACCATACTCTTACACCAGTTGATGTTCTGGACTCTTCAGCAGGAGCACAGAAAGAATACATCTCGCTGGAATGCCAACTAGCAATCATTCAATCAACTACATTCTTAACCCCAGGAGTTCAACTACTCAGTTAAGCAAACTCAGTAACTCGAATCTCGATAAGAAGCAACATAACACGGGAAAATCTCAATGCAGCTATACTGATTCTGCTACTCAAAGTGTAATAGAAGAAACTGTACATGATAATGGATCCAAACATCAGAATGGGTTCACACTTGATAGGCAATTCGAATTTCGAAACATGAGAAACCAAAGCAAATACAACACAACAACCCAATATGTAACTCTATTCCTACTTGAAAACCCACGGAGGGCAAAGGGATCAGTGGGTCGGTCGCCGCCTTGGTGGAGGTCCGACGGGATCAGTGATTCGAGATTGAATCCAAAAGAGACCGACCAAGATTCAAGGATATGAAGAGGGAGGGAGAGAGTACCAGAACGGCGGTGTGACCCGGGATGCGGAGGCCGGCGGATGTGCGAATCTAGATGTTAGGTCAGGGAAAGAGACTGGGGATGGCGGTGGAAGAACAAAGTAAAGAGTTGGGTGATTGCAAATCTAGGTTGAAGGAGAAGGAGGAGATTCTGGAACACTACAAGAGGCTTTTGGAGGAGAGCAAAGATGCGATGAAGGAGAAGGAGTCGGCGATGAATCGATTGAAGGAGGTGATCGAGGACAGGGATGGAGAGATTCGGCGATTGAAGTTGAGGTTAAAAGAGGCGGGTGGTAGTGGCGGCAATGGAATTGGGACAACCAGAGGTGACGAAGAATTGAAAGCGATTAGGGATCGTTTGGTCGCTAAAGAGAAACAGGTGGATGATTTCAAGGCGGCTGTCAAATGCTTTTTCAGGACTGGCGGATCTGGCGGGGACTGGCCGACTGGGTGAGGAAGAAGAATCGCCACCGGGAGGATTGCAGTTTGCGGTGAGGAAGAAGAATCTCTGCAAATCTACTCGAGCGTTGGTGGTGGACTGGTGGGCGACCTTCAGTAAGAATTACCGGTTTGCGGTTTTGAACCGTAACCGTGTGGTTTCGGTCAAACCAAACCGCGAACCACGAACAACTAAATGGTTAGTCCGCAAATGAAACCGATAGTTAACGGTGCGGTTTGGATTGACCGTTGGAGCGGTTTGGAGCGGTTTGGTGTGGTTTGGTCAAACCAATGCCCACCCCTACTTCACACTATCGCCAGCTACAAACGCAATCATATTCTTGGCGATTAGGGGTTCTATCATATCATTCAGCCACTCCTCATGGATTTTTCATATGGATGCATGTAGAGATGTGAGAGTTGAGTGGGATCGTGTCGATGGTGTTGGCCCGCCTACATGTGGTGAGGAAGAAGCCAGCAATTGGCGGTGATAATTAATAAAAAAAAAAGAACTAACAGATAATAATAAACACAGCTGGGGAGAGGTGCATGCAGTTAGCACCGAAAAACTTGGTGGAAATTTAATTCCCTTTCTCTTCTCCTTAGTCTATAAAAGGAGACCACCAATAGCTCTTTAGATCATCCCACCATTCCATATTTCTCCAATTCATTTGCTCTGCTTCTGTTCGTATTTCTTTTGTGGGTTTTGGTAGTGAAACGTTTTCACTACCACGGGTAGATAGGAGAATTCTTGTGAGTGAAATAGTGAGGTTGTTCCGGGAAACACCGAGTGTTCTATTTCCTTGTATCTTGAAATTCTCTGTAACCTACTGTTGCAATAGTGAAGAAATACTCTGGAGCTGTTGTTCCCGTGGACTGGCCCTAAATCAGGGTATACCACGTAAATCCTCTGTGCCATTTATTATTGTCTATGCTTGTTATCATTTTGAGAATAGTCGTAGTATATTGCGTTATTAAATTACCGAAGTAAATTGATCTAAGTAAGTTGGTTACCGTAATTCTGGAGGCTCTGCCACCAGGTCCAACTTACCTGTGAACTTTTTACAAGCGCGTGATTTTTTAATCCAATATATTTACCCGCTATTCTCACCCGCTGCGCCCAACAAGTGGTATCAGAGCCACGTCCAATGGAGGAAAAAACAAGCAAGATGATAAGTCTGAATGGCTCCAACTATCACATATGGAGAAACAAGATGAAGGATCTCCTACTCGTGACGGAGTTGCATTTGCTGGTGTTTAGCCCAACTAAACCTGATGGCAAAACTGAAGAGGAATGGGAGTTCAAGCATGAGCAAGTATGTGGCTACATTCGACAGTTCGTCGACGATAATGTATACAACCACATTAGCGGAGAAACTCATGCCAGAACTCTGTGGAACAAGCTGGAGGCACTTTATGCATCAAAGACCGGCAACAACAAATTATTTTATCTGACCAAGTTGGTCCAGATGAAATACAAGGAAGGCAAATCCTTGGCGGATCACTTGAACGAAATTCAAGGGATCGTGGATCAGTTGTCCGGTATGGGCATAAAGATGGAAGATGAGGTGGTCGCTCTCCTCGTTCTGGCTTCCCTTCCAGAATCTTGGGAGACGCTAAAAATTTCACTTACCAACTCTGCGAAAGATGGAGTTATAAACATGGAGATTGTCAAAAGCGGAGTCCTGAACGAAGAGATGCGAAAAAGATCACAAGGTGCATCCTCATCATCTTCCCAGTCAGACCTTCTGACAGTGGATTCCAAAAGCAGAGGAAGAAGTGAAGCTAGAGGCTCAAAGCAAAGAGGCAAGAGTCGAGGGAAGTCCAACAAGTTTGCCAACATCCAATGTCATCACTATAAGGAAAAGGGCCACATCAGAAGATTTTGCCCAAAGTTCAGAAATGAGAGAAAGAAGGGCAAACGAGATGAGAACAGTGATGATGATGGTGCAAACTCTGTAGATGAGTTCAATATTGTCTACGAGGAAGATATTGTCAACCTGACAACCCAGGAGACAAGCTGGGTGGTTGATAGTGGTGCTACCATCCACGTGACGTCCAAGAGAGAATTTTTCTCATCTTACACACCAGGTGACTTTGGTGTGGTAAGAATGAGAAATGGTAATCTTTCCAAAGTTATCGGAAAAGGAGAAGTCTTCTTGGAGACGATGAATGGTACGAAGCTACTGCTAAAGGATGTCAGGCATGTTCCAGAAATGTGCCTGAATCTCATCTCTGTAGACAAGTTGGATGAAGAAGGTTACTGCAACACCTTCCACAATGGCCAGTGGAAACTCACTAGAGGCTCCTTGGTGTTGGCCAAGGGCAAGAAGCTGTCAAAACTGTATGTGACGGAAGCCAAGATCTCCCCAGAGATTGTCAACTCAGCGGAGAATGGTGACACAATTGAATTGTGGCACAAACGGCTCGGTCACATGAGTGAGAAGTCCATGGCAAAGTTGGCCAAGAAGAAAGTCATAATTGGGTTGGATCATGTTCATCTAAAGAAGTGTTTCGATTGCCTTGTGGGAAAGCAAAACCGAGTTGCTTTCAAAAGTTCCATCCCTTCAAGAGCGAAGAACGTGTTGGATCTAGTTCACTCAGATGTATGTGAACCCGATGTCAACGTTAAATCACTTGGAGGTGCCAGATATTTTGTGACATTCATTGATGACCATTCACGGAAGACTTGGGTGTATACCTTGAAGACCAAGGATCAGGCCCTAGACGTTTTCAAACAATTCCTGGCCCTGGTGGAGAGGGAAACTGGCAAGAAGCTGAAGTGCATCCGGACTGACAATGGTGGAGAGTACAGAGGTCCGTTTGCTACCTTTTGTAAGGAACATGGAATTCGGCAGCAATTCACACCACCAAAGACGACGCAATTGAATGGGCTAGCTGAGAGGATGAACATGACCCTGCTAGAGAGAGTTAGGTGCTTGTTATCACACTCGAAGCTACCACAATCTTTCTGGGGGGAGGCACTGCTTGCAGCAGTTTACGTGTGGAACAGGTCACCCAGTGTGCCACTGAAGTATGACGCCCCAGAGAAGGTGTGGACAGGAAAAGAAGTTTCCTACAAACATTTGCGGGTGTTTGGTTGCAAGGCCTTTGTCCATATTCCAAAGGATGAAAGGTCAAAGTTGGATTCAAAGACGCGACCGTGCGTATTCATTGGCTATGGTCAAAATGAGTTTGGCTATAGATTCTTTGATCCAATCCAGAAGAAGCTTATCAGAAGCCGTGATGCTGTGTTCATCGAAAATGAGACCATCGAAGATGTTGCTAGGAAAGAAGTTCCTAGTACTGATGCTAGTCAACCAAGCCTTGGGCTAGTACCTCCAACGTCGGCGCTTACAGAAGTTGGAGAAGAAGCACAACATGATCAGCCTGAGATAGTTGAACAAGATGCTCCTGTGGAGGTTCAACCAGAAGATGCTGATGATGATGGTCAACCACCAGCCATTGAGGGTTCTCCTGTTCAAATGACGAGATTTGGTAGGGTCACACGACGCTCTACCAGATATCCTGAGACTGAATACGTGTCACTTACTGACGGGGGAGAACCAGAAAGTTTCACAGAAGCTATGAATGATGAACACAAGCAAAGATGGATAGAAGCCATGCAAGACGAGATGGATTCCTTGTATGAGAACAAGACATTTGAGCTGGTAAAAAAGGCAAGAGAGCTTTGAAGAACAAGTGGGTGTTCAAGATTAAACATGATGAACACAACCGTCAGCCACGCTTCAAAGCCATACTAGTTGTGAAAGGCTTCAGTCAAAGGAAAGGCATTGACTTTGACGAGATATTTTCACCTGTGGTGAAGATGACATCCATTTGTACTGTGTTGGGACTAGCAGCAAGTCTTAACCTGGAGGTTGAACAAATGGATGTGAAAACTGCTTTTCTTCATGGTGATTTGGAGGAAGAGATTTACATGGAGCAACCAGAAGGCTTCAAGAAGGAGAAAAGGAGGACTATGTGTGCAGGCTCCGTAAGAGGTTGTATGGCTTGAAGCAGGCACCAAGACAGTGGTATAAGAAGTTTGAGTCTGTTATGGGGGAGCAAGGCTACATGAAGACTACTTCGTACCACTGTGTGTTCGTGAAGAAATTTCCTGATGGAGATTTCATCTTAATTTTGCTCTATGTGGATGATATGCTAATTGCTGGGCAAAACGTCCCAAAGATCAGTGATTTGAAGGAGTTGAGCAAGTCTTTTTCCATGAAAGACTTGGGATCAGCAAAGCAAATTCTTGGCGTGAGGATCGTTCGGGATCTAGGTGCTAAGAAGATATGGTTGTCACAAGAGAAGTACATTGAGAATGTACTTCAACGTTTCAACATGGATAATGCTAAGGCGGTTAGTTGTCCTCTTGCTAACCACTTTACATTGACATCCAAACAGAGCCCGTCTACTAAGAAGGAAAAGGCGGAGATGGATAAAATTCCATATGCTTCAGCAGTGGGAAGTTTGATGTACGCCATGGTGTGTACAAGGCCAGATATTGCTCATGCAGTTGGAGTTGTCAGTCGGTTTCTTTCCAAACTAGGAAAGGAACATTGGGAAGCTGTGAAGTGGATCCTCAGATACCTTCGAGGTAGCTCCAAAATGATTCTATGTTTTGGAGATGGTGAACCTGTCCTTGTTGGCTATACAGATGCTGACATGGCAGGTGATGTTGATTCGAGGAGGTCCACTTCTGGGTACCTGATTACCTTATCAGGGGGAGCAATATCGTGGCAGTCAAGGCTACAAAAATGTGTAGCTCTTTCCACAACAGAAGCTGAGTACATAGCAACAACGAAAGCGTGCAAGGAGATGATCTGGATGAAGAAGTTCTTGAAAGAACTTGGGTTTCAACAAGAACAACCACAGTTGTTCTGTGACAGTCAAAGTGCTATTCATCTTGCGAAGAATGCTTCATTTCATGCCCGATCAAAACATATCGATGTTCGATATCATTGGATACGAGATGTGCTCGAAATGAAGCAGCTACAACTAAAGAAGATCCATACTGACAAAAATGGATCTGACATGTGTACCAAGACTCTTCCAAGAGAAAAGTTTGAGTTCTGTCGATCAGCTGCAGGGATGGCGAAGTCACATATGTAGTCATGAGGGGGAGAATTGTTGGCCCGCCTACATGTGGTGAGGAAGAAGCCAACAATTGGCGGTGATAATTAATAAAAAAAACTAACAGATAATAATAAACACAGCTGGGGAGAGGTGCAGGCAGTTAGCACCGAAAAACTTGGTGGGAATTTAATTCCCTTTCTCTTCTCCTTAGGCTATAAAAGGAGACCACCAATAGCTCTTTAGATCATCCCATGATTCCATACTTCTCCAATTCATTTGCTCTGCTTCTGTTCGTATTTCTTTTGTGGGTTTTGGTAGTGAAACTGATGACTCGATATTTGCACATGTTTTCCCCTTTGTTTCTTGATCGTTTGAGATTTAATTATCGCGTCTTTGCCCTATTTTACGCTAGGTTGTGTTCCTTTGTCACATTTCAGGTCCTATCACATAAAGTGAAGCATAGGCGCAAGTTTCAAGTCAATCAGAGATCAATTGGCGATTAGGGAGAAGAAACTCGGGCATGACCTGAAGAAGAATGGATTTCTACCTCGCTGTATGGACAAAGAATCATACAAGCTTGTCATGAAAAGAAAGAGGACAAGACTACGAGCGTGTGGGATCAAACGGCGACGGATTCGGAGTCCGGACGAGGGAGAAACGAAGCATTGAATATAGGGGAACATGTTCGGCAGTAAAAACACGGGCGCGCCTAAATCAAAACACGGCCGTGCCCATATTTAGGCACGACCGTGTTTTGGCCGACGCGCGCGGGCTTGTTTTTAACATGGGGCAAAGCACGGGCGGGCAAAACCAAAGCACGGCCATGCCCTCGACCGTGTTTTGCCCAGAATCGGGTTTTTTAACCCAAATTCGAGCCAAAGGAGAGGGAGAGCTGGGTTTTGGATCCCAAACACCCAAGGGACGAACCAAAGAGAGAGAGGGCGATTTGAGGGCATTGTTGGAGTGGAATTGGAGGATTTCTTTGCTTTGGAAGCTCGAGGAACAAGCCCGGACTTGAAGACTGATCATCTGAAGATTCTTACTGCAGTCTCTCTCTTCTCTATGGAGTAACTTCCCTTCACTTAGGTTTTGAGGAACCCTAGCTATGTTTGTTTGATTGTATGATTGTATGATTACTCTGACTTAGGTCAATAGAGCACCATAGATTGATAGTAGTGGATCGATTGCTTTAGTCGAGGGTTGATTCACTGCTTTGTATCGATTGAGAACCTCTTTCGATAGAGGGAGTCTAATTCAGAACGCCTTGATTGGTTGTTCTAGAGAAGGATACGTCCCTCTAGGCAATTGACTTAAGAGGGCCTTGTTCCTTTAGTCGAGACTCAAGGTCTAGTCAAGGATTCTCCGCATTGTGAATGAAAGATGAACAAGTTAGAAATCATCAATCGTTAGTCTGGCTAGTGGCTAGGGGGAATCATACCTAAGTGAGTTCCCAACCTGTAGTTAGATGAACTTTAACTGTATTTTGCTAGAGTAGTTTTAGTTCTTTCATCTTAATCTGGTTTGCTAGATAATAAACTGAAGTTGAGTAATAGTAACTCTAGAGACCCGTGGATTTGATATTTATCACTTGAGCCACTATACTGCAGTCCCTTTCATTGGTTACACTTGGCCTTTGTTAGGAGTTGTGTCATAGCGAGTCAAGTTTTTGGCGCCGTTGTCGGGGACTTTCTAGAGTATTAGGAAAGGTAGAAGTTTGTTACTTTAGCGTTTTTCTTTTCTTTTCTTTTCCACCCTTGCTTTTCACTTGGGTGTTTTTGTGTTTGTTGGTGCAGATCTAAATCATGGATCCTCATGGCTTCTCCAACAATTGGGGGTATCCACCACCACCTGAGTGGTATAACCTCGAGACTCCCTGGAGCAATCAAGGAGGATAAGACTATGGATTCGGGTTCCAGTACCAACCCCCTTACTACAGAGAACAACCGGACCCCTGGGCATATCAAGAACAACCTCATTACCAAGAAGAATTTCTCCCACAACCAGAAGGGCCATCGGCGCTAGAGTTACCCATGGCGGCCTTCACGTGCCATTCTGCAGAGCCATGCTACACTCCACAGCCAGATCCAAACTATGAACTGAGGCTTCTCATGGAGCAGTTTGCTCGAGACTGTGAGAGAACATGCTCCAGGATGGATCATTGTGCCCAGGCCTATCGTGAAACAGAGGAGATCCTCCTGAGCCTTAAGAAGAGCGTCGATGATCTTGAGCGATTTTGGGCACAACCTGCTCCAGATCACCCTTCTGCTACCATAATAGAAGAGGAGGAGGAAGAAGGCTACAAGGACATTGTGGAGCACACTAAAGATGTCACGGAGAGCTCCCGTGATGATCATGATCAGGAATTTCCTGTCATAGCCGACCACACCTTCCCACATCCCAAACTGAGCTTTGAAGAGGCGGGCATGAGTGAGGAGATGCAAGAAGATCTCATGAAAGAAATTGCTTGGCAGCTTGCTCTCCAATCCGTGCTAGAAGAAGAAGAGCAAGAAAGGGTGCAGAAAGAAGTTGTGGAGGATGCCGAAAGTGAAGCAGAAGGAGTTCTTGATCATTTCCCAGGGGAGGTACCTCATGAAGAAGAAAGGGAGGTTGAAGAAGCAATTGGCTTCCAGACTGAGGACGAAGTTGAGGTGGAAGAGGCTTGCACCGGCCATGATTTGCAGGTGATATCTCCACCGAATTTCGAGGAACTGCTTAGCAAGGACCCATTTGCAGTGTCTCTTTGCCAGACCAAGGCCACATCGACATCGGTCCCTCTTGGTGGACGCGATGGTGGTCAATCGATGTTGTCATATCTGGTTTGGGGCAATGAGACAAAAGAAGAGAGGAAGAGGTCTCGAGGGTGGAGACTTCATCTGCATCAAGTGCACGAGCTTCCATCACCTGTCATACCACATGCTCGTGACTTGATACTCCACCTCATTGACGACAACCTCAACTTCAAGGAGGTTTTGGGGTGGACCGAAACTTAGGAGCTATCGTCCGGCTCACGACGTGAAAGAAGAGCTTGTTGGGAGGCAACCCAACCAGTCGGTTTGCATTTCTTTCCCTATTTCTCTTCGGTTGAGTCAGTTTTGTTCTTTGATTTTAGAGTCAATAACTCAACCTTTGTGAGATTTTATGTGGTGTTTGTGTTCTGACTACTCTCTCCTCCTGGAATACACCGCCTGCCCCGTCCACCATCATTCACCCTGGATCTGGTAACTTCGTTCTACCCTCCTTATCTTTCCTCCATTGAGGACAATGTCGTGCTTAATTGTGGGGGGATGTTCGATTATGTATGCGGGTGAATGTTTGGCTTTTTGTGTGCTTGGAGCCTAGTCCACTGTCCAAATTTTTAAATTTGAGGGCTCCAAGTACGTGTTTCCTTGCAAATTGCCTGCTCAGTATGCTTTGAATTGACAGTCTCTATAGTAATGTGCAACCTAGGGAGGTAGTGTAGCACTATGGAGGATGTTGAAGTATAAGATTTTTCCTATCTAGCTCTCTGCTGTGCCAGTTGATTTTGTGAATTAGTGGAGCTAAGACCGTTGAATTCATGTGGTAATGGTGACTATGTTTGGATTGTGTTATGGACTCGTGTATGGAACAGGGTGCTCATGTGAAAAATGAAATGCAGTTGGTCCTCCATGTCAAAATCATCGAAATCTTAAACATGGGGTAAGCCCAACGTGTGCGGCACCGTTCATTGCACAAAATCGAGTTTTGGAAGAGATTTTAGTGATCCTTAGTGGGGTACTCCTACAAGGTGAAGCTAAGCTGTCTCTAGTACAAGTAAAACTTCCACCCGTTGAACGGTTTGCCTACTTGAGGATGTGTTTTTAAGGGCACGGATAGAGCTTCCGACATCCCTTAATTTCATTGACCCTCCACACGAGTTGAGGAAAAGGAGTTAAAAGAAGTACTCTGGCGAGCGCGAGGTGTACATAAATTGCTCTTGCTCGACTAATAAGGGTCGACCGTGCAAAAGACTGCAGTTGGAACCCCCGCCAAGTGAATGAAATAAGAAAAAAAAAAAAAGTAAAATGAAAGCAAAAAAGGGGTTCCAACGGTGAAATGAAGTGAAAGAGCACCCCGGTACAACGAGTCCTTGGTTGTGAATGGTGTGAGTCCCTTTATCCATGAACTGACTGTCTTACTTCTACTTCTTCTCATGATCCTGGCTTGATTCTAGTACTCGCATTGAGAGAGATAGGGAACGTCTTAGAAGACCAGTTGACCTCGTAAGCTGCTATATGATCTAGGAAATCCTCTACCGACGATCGGGGTTGATGACTCGATATTTGCACATGTTTTCCCCTTTGTTTCTTGATCGTTTGAGATTTAATTATCGCGTCTTTGCCCTATTTTATGCTAGGTTGTGTTCCTTTGTCACATTTCAGGTCCTAGCACATAAAGTGAAGCATAGGCGCAAGTTTCAAGTCAATCAGAGATCAATTGGCGATTAGGGAGAAGAAACTCGGGCATGACCTGAAGAAGAATGGATTTCTACCTCACTTTATGGACAAAGAATCATACAAGCTTGTCATGAAAAGAAATAGGACAAGACTACGAGCGTGTGGGATCAAACGGCGACTGATTCGGAGTCCGGACGAGGGAGAAACAAAGCATTGAATATAGGGGAACATGTTCGGCAGTAAAAACACGGGCGCGCCAAAATCAAAACACGGCCGTGCCCATATTTAGGCACGACCGTGTTTTGGCCGACGCGCGCGGGCGTGTTCTTAACATGGGGCAAAGCACGGGTGGGCAAAACCAAAGCACGGCCGTGCCCTCGACCGTGTTTTGCCCAGAATCGGGTTTTTTAACCCAAATTCGAGCCAAAGGAGAGGGAGAGCTGGGTTTTGGATCCCAAACACCCAAGGGACGAACCAAAGAGAGAGAGGGCGATTTGAGGGCATTCTTGGAGTGGAATTGGAGGATTTCTTTGCCTTGGAAGCTCGAGGAACAAGCCCGGACTTGAAGACTGATCATCTGAAGATTCTTACTGCAGTCTCTCTCTTCTCTATGGAGTAACTTCCCTTCACTTAGGTTTTGAGGAACCCTAGCTATGTTTGTTTGATTGGATGATTGTATGATTACTCTGACTTGATAGTCTTGAGTTCATATTCAATCTATGCATGTTTTCATGATTCAATTCTGCTTTAGTCGAGATTATTGATTCTGCTTTGATCCTATGAGAGCAAATACCTGATTAGGTCAATAGAGCATCATAGATTGATAGTAGTGGATCGATTGCTTTAGTCGAGGGTTGATTCACTGCTTTGTATCGATTGAGAACCTCTTTCGATAGAGGGATTCTAGTTCAGAACGCCTTGATCGGCTGTTCTAGAGAAGGATACGTCCCTCTAGGCAATTGACTCAAGAGGGCCTTGTTCCTTTAGTCGAGACTCAAGGTCTAGTCAAGGATTCTCCGCATTGTGAATGAAAGAGAAACAAGTTAGAAATCATCAATCGTTAGTCTGGCTAGTGGCTAGGGGGAATCATACCTAAGTGAGTTCCCAACCTGTAATTAGATGAACTTTAACTGTATTTTGCTAGAGTAGTTTTAGTTCTTTAATCTTAATCTGGTTTGCTAAATAATAAACTGAAGTTGAGTAATAGTAACTCTAGAGACCCGTGGATTCGATATTTATCACTTGAGCCACTATACTGCAGTCCCTTTCATTGGTTACACTTGGCCTTTGTTAGGAGTTGTTTCATAGCGGGTCAAGTTTTTGGCGCCGTTGTCGGGGACTTTCTAGAGTATTAGGAAACGTAGAAGTTTGTTACTTTAGCGTTTTTCTTTTCTTTTCTTTTCCACCCTTGCTTTTCACTTGGGTGTTTTTGTGTTTGTTGGTGCAGATCTAAATCATGGATCCTCATGGCTTCTCCAACAATTGGGGGTATCCACCACCACCTGAGTGGTATAACCTCGAGACTCCCTGGAGCAATCAAGGAGGAGAAGACTATGGATTCGGGTTCCAGTACCAACCCCCTTACTACAGAGAACAACCGGACCCCTGGGCATGTCAAGAACAACCTCATTACCAAGAAGAATTTCGCCCACAACCAGAAGGGCCATCGGCGCTAGAGTTACCCATGGCGGCCTTCACGTGCCATTCTGCAGAGCCATGCTACACTCCACAGCCAGATCCAAACTATGAACTGAGGCTTCTCATCTGTGAGAGAACATGCTCCAGGATGGATCATTGTGCCCAGGCCTATCGTGAAACAGAGGAGATCCTCCTGAGCCTTAAGAAGAGCGTCGATGATCTTGAGCGATTTTGGGCACAACCTGCTCCAGATCACCCTTCTGCTACCATACTAGAAGAGGAGGAGGAAGAAGGCTACAAGGACATTGTGGAGCACACTAAAGATGTTACGGAGAGCTCCCGTGATGATCATGATCAGGAATTTCCTGTCATAGCCGACCACACCTTCCCACATCCCAAACTGAGCTTTGAAGAGGCGGGCATGAGTGAGGAGATGCAAGAAGATCTCATGAAAGAAATTGCTTGGCAGCTTGCTCTCCAATCCGTGCTAGAAGAAGAAGAGCAAGAAAGGGTGCAGAAAGAAGTTGTGGAGGATGCCGAAAGTGAAGCAGAAGGAGTTCTTGATCATTTCCCAGGGGTGGTACCTCATGAAGAAGAAAGGGAGGTTGAAGAAGCAATTGGCGTCCAGACTGAGGACGAAGTTGAGGTGGAAGAGGCTTGCACCGGCCTTGAGTTGCAGGTGATATCTCCACCGAATTTCGAGGAACTGCTTAGCAAGGACCCATTTGCAGTGTCTCTTTGCCAGACCAAGGCCACATCGACATCGGTCCCTCTTGGTGGACGCGATGGTGGTCAATCGATGTTGTCATATCTGGTTTGGGGCAATGAGACGAGAGAAGAGAGGAAGAGGTCTCGAGGGTGGAGACTTCATCTGCATCAAGTGCACGAGCTTCCATCACCTGTCATACCACATGCTCGTGACTTGATACTCCACCTCATTGACGACAACCTCAACTTCAAGGAGGTTTTGGGGTGGACCGAAACTTAGGAGCTATCGTCCGGCTCACGACGTGAAAGAAGAGCTTGTTGGGAGGCAACCCAACCAGTCGGTTTGCATTTCTTTCCCTATTTCTCTTCGGTTGAGTCAGTTTTGTTCTTTGATTTTAGAGTCAATAACTCAACCTTTGTGAGATTTTATGTGGTGTTTGTGTTCTGACTACTCTCTCCTCCTGGAATACACCGCCTGCCCCGTCCACCATCATTCACCCTGGATCTGGTAACTTCATTCTACCCTCCTTATCTTTCCTCCATTGAGGACAATGTCGTGCTTAATTGTGGGGGGATGTTCGATTATGTATGCGGGTGAATGTTTGGCTGTTTGTGTGCTTGGAGCCTAGTCCACTGTCCAAATTTTTAAATTTGAGGGCTCCAAGTACGTGTTTCCTTGCAAATTGCCTGCTCAGTATGCTTTGAATTGACAGTCTCTATAGTAATGTGCAACCTAGGGAGGTAGTGTAGCACTATGGAGGATGTTGAAGTATAAGATTTTTCCTATCTAGCTCTCTGCTGTGCCAGTTGATTTTGTGAATTAGTGGAGCTAAGACCGTTGAATTCATGTGGTAATGGTGACTATGTTTGGATTGTGTTATGGACTCGTGTATGGAACAGGGTGCTCATGTGAAAAATGAAATGCAGTTGGTCCTCCATGTCAAATCATCGAAATCTTAAACATGGGGTAAGCCCAACGTGTGCGGCACCGTTCATTGCACAAAATCGAGTTTTGGAAGAGATTTTAGTGATCCTTAGTGGGGTACTCCTACAAGGTGAAGCTAAGCTGTCTCTAGTACAAGTAAAACTTCCACCTGTTGAACGGTTTGCCTACTTGAGGATGTGTTTTTAAGGGCACGGATAGAGCTTCCGACCCCCCTTAATTTCATTGACCCTCCACACGAGTTGAGGAAAAGGAGTTAAAAGAAGTACTCTGGCGAGCGCGAGGTGTACAGAAATTGCTCTTGCTCGACTAATAAGGGTCGACCGTGCAAAAGACTGCAGTTGGAACCCCCGCCAAGTGAATGAAATAAGAAAAAAAATAAAGTAAAATGAAAGCAAAAAAGGGGTTCCAACGGTGAAATGAAGTGAAAGAGCACCCCGGTACAACGAGTCCTTGGTTGTGAATGGTGTGAGTCCCTTTATCCTGGCTTGAGTCTAGTACTCGCATTGAGAGAGATAGGGAACGTCTTAGAAGACCAGTTGACCTCGTAAGCTGCTATATGATCTAGGAAATCCTCTACCGACGATCGGGGTTGATGACTCGATATTTGCACATGTTTTCCCCTTTGTTTCTTGATCGTTTGAGATTTAATTATCGCGTCTTTGCCCTATTTTATGCTAGTTTGTGTTCCTTTGTCACATTTCAGGTCCTAGCACATAAAGTGAAGCATAGGCGCAAGTTTCAAGTCAATCAGAGATCAATTGGCGATTAGGGAGAAGAAACTCGGGCATGACCTGAAGAAGAATGGATTTCTACCTCACTTTATGGAAAAAGAATCATACAAGCTTGTCATGAAAAGAAATAGGACAAGACTACGAGCGTGTGGGATCAAACGGCGACTGATTCGGAGTCCGGACGAGGGAGAAACGAAGCATTGAATATAGGGGAACATGTTCGGCAGTAAAAACACAGGCGCGCCTAAATCAAAACACGGCCGTGCCCATATTTAGGCACGACCGTGTTTTGGCCGACGCGCGCGGGCGTGTTTTTAACATGGGGCAAAGCACGGGTGGGCAAAACCAAAGCACGGCCGTGCCCTCGACCGTGTTTTGCCCAGAATCGGGTTTTTTAACCCAAATTCGAGCCAAAGGAGAGGGAGAGCTGGGTTTTGGATCCCAAACACCCAAGGGACGAACCAAAGAGAGAGAGGGCGATTTGAGGGCATTCTTGGAGTGGAATTGGAGGATTTCTTTGCCTTGGAAGCTCGAGGAACAAGCCCGGACTTGAAGACTGATCATCTGAAGATTCTTACTGCAGTCTCTCTCTTCTCTATGGAGTAACTTCCCTTCACTTAGGTTTTGAGGAACCCTAGCTATGTTTGTTTGATTGGATGATTGTATGATTACTCTGACTTGATAGTCTTGAGTTCATATTCAATCTATGCATGTTTTCATGATTCAATTCTGCTTTAGTCGAGATTATTGATTCTGCTTTGATCCTATGAGAGCAAATACCTGATTAGGTCAATAGAGCATCATAGATTGATAGTAGTGGATCGATTGCTTTAGTCGAGGGTTGATTCACTGCTTTGTATCGATTGAGAACCTCTTTCGATAGAGGGAGTCTAGTTCAGAACGCCTTGATCGGCTGTTCTAGAGAAGGATACGTCCCTCTAGGCAATTGACTCAAGAGGGCCTTGTTCCTTTAGTCGAGACTCAAGGTCTAGTCAAGGATTCTCCGCATTGTGAATGAAAGAGAAACAAGTTAGAAATCATCAATCGTTAGGCTGGCTAGTGGCTAGGGGGAATCATACCTAAGTGAGTTCCCAACCTGTAATTAGATTAACTTTAACTGTAGTTTGCTAGAGTAGTTTTAGTTCTTTCATCTTAATCTGGTTTGTTAAATAATAAACTGAAGTCGAGTAATAGTAACTCTAGAGACCCGTGGATTCGATATTTATCACTTGAGCCACTATACTGCAGTCCCTTTCATTGGTTACACTTGGCCTTTGTTAGGAGTTGTGTCATAGCGAGTCAGAAACGTTTTCACTACCACGGGTAGATAGGAGAATTCTTGTGAGTGAAATAGTGAGGTTGTTCCGGGAAATACCGAGTGTTCTATTTCCTTGTATCTTGAAATTCTCTGTAACCTACTGTTGCAATAGTGAAGAAATACTCTGGAGCTGTTGTTCCCGTGGACTGGCCCTAAATCAGGGTATACCACGTAAATCCTCTGTTCCATTTATTATTGTCTATGCTTGTTGTCATTTTGAGAATAGTCGTAGTATATTGCGTTATTAAATTACCGAAGTAGATTGATCTAAGTAAGTTGGTTACCGTAATTCTGGAGGCTCTGCCACCAGGTCCAACTTACCTGTGAACTTTTTACAAGAGTGTGATTTTTTAATCCAATATATTTACCCGCTATTCTCATCCGCTGCGCCCAACAGATGGGAGGAGGGATAGTTCCCTTCCCATCGTCAAATACTTCTAATCTTCTATTGCCATTGCAATCACGTTAGAATAAACCAGATTGTAGTTAGCTCTGATACCATGTAAAAACTAATAAACGTAAAAGATAAAACACAAGGATCAACGTAGTTTTGTTAGAAACACACTTTTCGTGGGTTTCTCATTAATTATAGCATGATAAGTATTATTATGGTTAGTAGAGATTTAGTCAAATTATGTTATTTATTAGGTTTTCCCGTATTTTCCTATAAATATGTAATCTAGGTTTCATGCATAATCAATCAAGAATAATATTACAGAAACTATTTCTTAAACCCTAATCCTTCTTCTCTCAATATTCATCACCTATCCCTAGATCAATCGACCGTTCTTCTCCTCAATTCCCAATTTCCTCTTCTAAATCCCTAATCCCCAATTCACAATTCTTATCCTAATCTTTAATTCCTATCTCAATTCCCAATTTATCTATCAAATCCCCAATCTATGAACCCTAGACGTGCACGCCTAGATCCCTGTGATATGATCTCAATTCCACCCTTGAATCAACTCAAACAAATCGTTCAAAGATCGGGTCAAGTTAATACAAACAAGGATGGAAATTTCCCAAGTATTGAGGCAGTTTCGGGAAGGGTACTTTGGAGGGATGTTTCTCTCAAACCGTTCAATGGAAACGCAAGGTTAGGGTCTTATTTTGAACCTTGGATGTTCCTCTATAATTTGATGCATTTGGATCGTGGAAAGAAGGTCAGGAAGCTTGTTTTCAAGGCCATAAAAAACCTATCCTGCATTCTGGAAATTGCCAGTTTTTGGATAAGGCAGTGAGACAGTTTGAGGTACCAACTTTGAGCTCGAATTCAAGACCTTTGGGTCATGAACAACTGGAGTTTGGAGCTGGGAATGGAAGAGTAAAACTTTCTAAACCAAGGGAAGGAATTGGCTGAGCTCGACTCAACCCAGAAGATTGATTTCCAGAGCCACGAAGTTGCTATCAAGGACTGTTTTTGGGCAGTTAGCTTGTGAGAGAAGTTAGTTACTTGGGATGCAAGTTTTAATTGTTTTCAACGTTTTATTTTCCTTGTTTGATTCAGAATTGTGGCCTTGTTTGTTTAGGATTGTAATTAGGTTTTGTGGTTATAAATATTCAAGCTTTGAGTTGTAAAAACATACGTTGAAGTTTAATCGAATTACTCCGAGGAGTTTTCCAGCTTGCGAGCTTTGGTTCTTGGTTGTTTAGCCGAGAATTGCAGACCTAGAGATCAGGATATTCACCCTTGATCTCGTGGTAGTTCTACCTAGATTAGCCTCTTCCCTTTTCGTGTTGAAGTTGTTGATTTAGTTTGTTTGGTTCCACCGTTTTTCCCCTCAAATTCATTCATCGTTGATTGATCGCTGCGTTATTCTGAGTTAAGCCAATCGATGGCTTATCACCCTATTTCTTACAATTGTTATTAACACACTTTTCATGGGTTTCTCATTATTTTGTTTTATGAATGGGTGGGCTTTATTTTCATCAATACAATCATTACAAACTGTACCAACTAATCAATTTTTACATGGCTGTAACTCTATACACATTATTTCATCTTTAACAACGTAGATAATGTACAAGTTACGAATCCAACTAATTCCTTCTACCTCCGTTAGAGTCTCCTTGTTATCGCAATTGCTAAGCCTCCAGGGATTCAACAAACTTCGGATCTCCAGCCTTAGCTCTCATAACTCCCTGCACCCGATGAACTAGGTTTGATACTGTCAACTGATTACCCCCATACAGTCGGCGGCATCTCTCTCGCCATATTTCACTCAACACTAAACACCATAAAACTCTCCCAACCTGACTCTTATGTAGCTTCTGAATCAAGAATTCAACAGCCTGCTGCAAGTTAGTAGGAAGAGGAACCTGCCAAGCTGCTAGAAAAATGGACATCCACACATCATGTACATACACACATTGAAAAAATATATGGTCTCTTGTCTCAGGCAGTTGTGACACAGCGGGCAAGTAGTGCAAACCTCCGGATTCCAGCTGAGTATCTTATTTAGAGTAGTGATCTTCCCAAGTAAAATCAACCAAGTAATAATCGAGTTTTTTGGAATGCCTCCTTTCCAAACCAGTTTGGACCACACCACAGGAACTCCACGAGGTCTGATACTCTGCCACGTTTTGCTAATCTGGAACCTTGTCATCAGTTCTCCCTCCCATTCCATACCTCGATCCGTTTTACATAATTTCCCATAAAAATTATCACGCAGCTTGAGTATCTTATTCCATACCCAAGACCCCTTTGTTTTGACTTACCAGATGCTTTGTTTCTCATTAATTATAGTAGGATAAGTATTACTATGATTAGTAGAGATTTAGTCAAATTAGGTTATTTATCTGGTTTTCCTGTATTTTCCTATAAATATGTAATCTGAGTTTCATTCATAATCAATCAAGAATAATATTACAATCTCACCAAAAAAAAATATATTATAGAAACTATCTCTTAAACCCTCATCCTTCTTCGCTCAATATTCGTCACCTATCCCTAGGCTGATCGGCAGTTCTTCTCCTCAATCCCCATTTTCCGCTTCTAAATCCCTAATCCCCAATTATGTTCTTCCTATCCTAGTTCTCAATTATTCTCCTAAATCCCTAATTCCTATCTCAATTCCCAATTTCTTTATCAAATCCCCAATCTATGAACCCTAGGCGTACACACCTAGATTCGTGTTTCTTACAATTGTTATAAGCACACTTTTTGTGGTTTCTCATTAATTATAGTAGGATAGGTATTATTATGGTTAGGAGAGATTTAGTCAAATTAGGTTATTTATGAGGTTATCTCGTATTTTCTTATAAATATGTAATCTGGGTTTCATTCATAATCAAACAAGAATAATATCACAGAAACTATCTCTTAAACCTAGTCCTTCTTCTCTCAATATTCGTCACCTATCCCTAGGCCGATTGGTTGTTCTTCTCCTCAATCCCCAATTTTCTCTTCTAAATCTCTAATCCCCAATTTTTTTCTTCCTATCCCAATTCTCAATTCTTCTCCTAAATCCCTAATTCTTATCTCAATTCCCAATTTCTCTATCAAATCCCCAATCTATGAACCCTAGATGTACACGCCTAGATCCGTGTTTCTTACAGGTTTTCCCGAAGATCGGGACTAATCCACGCACACATAGAGCTGAGTTCCCGATAAAGTTTGACTATGACGCAAAATAGAAATCTTTGAAGGTGAGTTCGGCCACAAGAATACGCGACCTTATATCCCAGCAACAAGTAATATGGGTTTAATATGGCCAAAGTACAAAAAGGTCCTTAACTGAACGATTATATACAAAGACATCCACTTCTCAAGATTGGAAAATAATATTTGTGAGATGGGATTTATAAATCACCGTGCCAAATAACACCCGAATATACAAATGTGGTTATTAGTTAAATAGCCAAGCAAAACACAACCTGGAAAGGATCAAGTCACTAAAATTGAATCCCTCTTCTCTCCTCCAATCATCAAACAATCTCAAAAGCCACAAAACCTCTTCAACATAGAGAACATATAGTAGAAACAATAGTGGGCCAAGAAGAGGATACAGTATGTATTACTAGACAACAGTCGACCTTGTTGTGGTACGTAGGTCGCCGTGGCCGCCGCCGCCTTCTTGATCATTCAACGGCGGCATCTCTCGGCTCTCGCTGCTGCTGCTTAACAGTGTTCCATCTCTCAATTTCTCTGGCCAGCAGTCCCTTGCCAGCTTGTTCCTGCTCCTGATAATTATTATCCCTATGATCTTCTCCAACCCCATGGTGAACATAAACGTCACCATTCTTCTTCTTCACTCGCACCAATTTCCCCTTCTTGAAACAGTAACCCATTTTCAGGCACATGATCTTTCTGCAAGTACTGCTGGGAAATTTTGATCATTTAAAGGGAATAAACCAAATCGAGAGGATTTGAGAGATTTAAAAACAGAGGAGAGAAAGGGTGAATACAAGAAAAGGGTTTTCAGGGGATGGATTTGAAATGAATTGCAAGAAAAGGATTTGATGACTTTAAGAATAAGTAAGGTCGCTACCATCCATAAAAAGGGACAGGTTCATCTATAGTTAAGTTGTTTGTTTTTGGCTTTCTTATCATGTTACCTCAAAGACTCTTTGGTTTGTGGCTAGTTAATTAGTATCCAGGGGTTAATCAAACGTAAACCCACCAGCTTTCTTCTCTGTAAGCTAAAATTGGGCTTTGCTTTCGGAAGTGTACTTGTCTAACAAATGTTTGTAGGAACATTTTAATTACTTGTTCGATCGTTCACAATGTGACATGATACATGGATCAAAAATGTAATTTAAATTTCATCGATTCGTGACAAGTTCTTTAAATTTAAAGCATTTGATATGTTGGCCAAGTTCATTAGTTTTAGTATTGGAAACAATAAGAAGAACGACGAAAAATTAAATAACAAATTTCAACGCAAAAACCAACTTTTTTAACGACACCTCACTATCGAAGGCTGGCTGATAAAATAATACGTAAAAACATTCGAATTGGTACAGCACTAAATGCTAATGACACGAAGATCAGGGGACATGGTAATTCTCTTCATTTAGCCCTCACCAAGGAAGGGTTTTATTTTATTTTTTATCAGGCGTTACATTACTTCTATGTCATGATATTGGTAACCCATCTATGCATCATCTACATCTACACTATATATTATGGCAATTCAAAAGTAACTTCTTGCCACATAAGCACTTGGAGAATTCACAAGTTGCCAAGGTGGACAACTTTTTTGCAAACACAAATTCATTATTGATCTATTTATGGAGATATCTCTCTCTTCTTTTATATATCTACTCATTTTTACTAAAAAATTATAATAAATTACATTTTTTATGAGAATGTAAACAAACACACAAAAGTATAATATTTTTGTCAATTAAAAAAATATAAAGATGGAAATAAAGAGTGACTATATCGAATTTGTTTAACTAAAAAGTATATGATTAAATCTTATCAAGTAAATTTTCTACTTATTTTCAGCAAAAATTAATAATAAGTTACATTTTGACAAAAATTTAAAAAAGTACACATATATAATAATATTTGTATGAATTAAACAAATTATTACAATAGAAACATTGAAAACAAATGATTAAAAAGTACACATATATAATAATATTTGTATCAATTAAACAAAATATTACAATAGAAACATTGAAAACAAATGATAAAAAACGTACACACATATATAATAATATTTTTATCAATCGACTTTGAAAACGAAATATATGAATTTCGATTTTTTGTATTAACAACTCTCTTATTTCTAATGTATTTTTTTCGTCGAATTATTTCTCATATATATTTCTATCAAATAAAACAACTTTTATATAGCAAAAGGTTTGAATATAAACTTGACTAAGCAATAATAGTTCTTTCTTTAAAAAACTTCTTATTCATCATGATTAAGTGAAAACATATATTCATGTTTTACCTTCATTTTCTCAAATTAAGAGGAATCAAGTGTGCAATACTTTATAATTTGTCCTAGGGTTCATAATAAAATATTCACTCTAGATCATATTAATTGAACAATCTCTATTGAGGTCATAAGTCGAATGCTAAGTAATTTCTTTTCAGATTTGGAGTTATTGTCGAACATTATTACATCAAAGTTTTCAAAATGACTTAAGTATGATTTTTGACGAGTTTTGACTTCATACCTCGGATGAGACACAACATCACTTAAATAACAACACGTGTGAAGGTTAAGAAAATCTTCGTTGAGGATATACAATAAACATCACGTTTCATCAATCACTAACCTTAGCATTGATCAAATAAGGGTTGAAAAAATTTATTTAATAGTTGATGTCTTGGTAGACAAATCTAAATTCGAGGATTGAGGCAATAAATAAACATAAGTGTGTTAGTTGAGATATCTAAACAAAAAACTTTTGTAGCTACAAGAATCTAAATTGAGGTATTGTGTTAAAATAAAGAATCTTTAATAATGATGAGTTTAGTTAGGCAATTGTAAGAAAACATTGAGGTCGTTTGCTTCGTGGATTTGAAAACTGAAGGTTTTAATAAAACTTGGATTTTGTAAAAGCATGGATATATGAGGGTTTTCGGTTCATTATGGATTTGAAAATACCATACTTCGTTTCATAGATTTCATGATGCATTTGGTTAATTGAATTTGTATGTTGGAAGTGAAAATGACATATATTACCCTCATTGGTATGAGAAGAGAAATGAAATATGAGGGGTAGGTTGGTCATAAATAATAGACTTCAAAGTTCATGATCAATTTCCATCTAAAGAGGTGAAATTTTCAAGTCCGTGGGGCCCACGAATTTGGAACCTTAAAATACATGAGACCCACATATTTGTTGCCTCTAAATACATGAAGCAAGCAATGGTTGGACAAAGTTCACGATAGCTCCAAATTCATCAAGCAAACAACCCCAGCTATATGGTTGTGAGCAGTGGCGGACCCAGGATTGTCGGAGAGGTGTGTCGCCGATAAAATAAAATAATAATTAAATTAAATTAAAAATTAAGTTAAAATAAAAAGAAATTAATTCATAAAGTTCACAATGTCATGTTTACAACGAACCACGACGACTTTTCATCTGTTGAAATGTCTCTAAAATACATTCATCACTTATGCTGCAAAGCAAATCTTTTTTAATATACACAACTAAACAATCATTCATAAATTGGTCACTCAACCGATTTCGAAGATCGTTCTTGATTATCTTCATAGCTGAAAATGCTCTTTCGCAGCTTGCAGTTGCCACAGGTAAGGTCAACACCAACTTTAGCAGCAAGTAAAGTAAAGGATAAAGAGTGTCCTTTCCCCTTTCCACCAATTTCCTAGCTAGCTCGTCGATTCCTCGCAATCCATCAAAGCTCTTATCCTCCTTGACATGAGAAATGTAGCCCCCCAATTGTTGATGAAGTCGTGAGAGCACATTGGATGGAAACTCCTCGGGATAAAACTCAGTAAGACTCATCAACTTTGCTTTATCAAAAGAAGCAAAAGAGTTAGCTGGACTAAAACAAGAAATGCAGTCCAACAATCGAGTGTTCACCTCACCAAATCGAGTATTCAATTCTTGCAGCTGCAAATCTATAACTGCATAGAATAAATCGACTTGATAGTAATGCATAGAACAAATCTATAATGGCATTGGGCCATTAATTGGGGATGGGGAGGGAAGGAATAATAATGGGGAGGTAGTGGGCTAGTGGCCGACTAGGCTTTTGGCCTGTGGGTTCTTTTCTCATTTAATTAAAGGCTCAGACCCAACACTCATCACATATGTATATTGTATGGGTAAGAGTGTTTTTTTTTAATAGGAAGGATAAGATTATGCTTTATGAGTTATTTTAAACAAAATTAAAAAGGATTATGATTAAGATTGATTCATTTGGATAATAATTTCTTCGACTATAATGAAGGTGTGTCGGCTATAATTATTGAGGGTGTGTCGGCTATCCCGAAGTAAAAAATTTTGTACCAAAAATATGTAGATCCTTCGTAAAATGCTCGAGCGAGGGTGTGTCGGACGACACACCCTGCAATGCCTTAGGTCCGCCACTGGTTGTGAGTCTGTGACTCCATACCAAATTTTGGCAATAACAAAAAGTTTTTCAATATCGAAGTCTCAAAAAATGGAAATCTTTTGGTTTGTAACAGTAAAAAATTTGTATTTAAATCGAGTTATTCTAGCCACAAAATTTCGTTTTCATATTTCAGTCGATGAGCCGAGTTCAAAGGTATTAATTAGGGTTAAAAATTAAAATAAAATCGTTATACATATTCTTTGATATTGATAGATATGTCTACAATACATTCAAGAATTCAAGTGTTTGTAAAATGTCACAACATTTCTACGAGTTATTACATTTTATAAAAAAAATTCCAAGAAATCATAAATAATCATTACTTAATATTGTAGGAATCTAAATCTAATTTAATGCAACATCAGTACATGGCTAGCTCTCACCCTTTCACGCTGGACAAGGTCTAATTGGTGTTTTTTTTTTGCTTACTCTATAAATTGTCATCATTATCAATAAAAAGTAAATTAAGTTAATAAAAATGAATGCAACATTTTGGTGTGTTCCTATTCCTTTTCCCATACAATATTGAAAATAAAACACAACATTGATGATGAAGAAACTAGATCAAACCCCACAAAAACAAATAAAACTCTCTTCTTATTTGCTTAAATTTTGAGTTTCTAGAATTTTTCTTCTCTACTTTATTTTATATAGATATAGTAAAGGAAATGGTAAGGCATATTGAGTTTTTTTCTCTCTCTTTGTAGGAGAATAGGAGACGGGAGTTACATGATGCAATGATTTGTTGGAAAAGAATTGAACAACTTTAACATATTTTTGCCTATTGACGAAGAAAAGTCCAACCTATCATTTCTCCCTCTTTTCTTTTGATCCGCAGCGGGCAATTGATCTTTCTTCCTTGGAGATATCTGACTGCTAGCGGTTGACTGACCGAGTTATAATCTTCTTCCAATTCTTTTCTTAATTTCTTCCAGATTACGGCGACTGGATAGTAAATTTACCTTTTCGATTCAATGGTTGTATTTCTTCTTCGTTATTCAGGTAGTTGTTTTATGGTTCTCTGTTATCCTGTATACTTTGATGTAAACATGTAACATATAATTCAAAGGGTTTGTTGCTTGGACTTGGAGCATCTCTCCTTTGGTTGAATAATTGATCGTTTTCCTTGGAGGCCCATTGCAACTCGATTCCTTGGATGTTAAAATGGAAAGCAGACTTGTGAGGGTTGTTCATTATGTTTATTATGTTCATGAGTGACATGATACTAGCTAGCTATATGACGATGATTTGATCAAGTAAATAGTATGTAGCATGGGGTTATAAGTAGGAGGGAACATATTTGGGGTTTTATAAAGGGCACGAAGAAGAAATAAAATGGTAGTAAATGTTGATATTTTCACCAATTTCTAGACGTTTGTAATAACATTGGTTTTTTTTCCTTAGCGTGAATTTTGCCTAATTGAATCCCTAACTAAAGTTTGATTTTGGCCTGATTGTTTTCATAACAACTACTCTTTAGATTGATGCATCAATCCGATTCACAATGGGGACTCTGCAAGATATAATGACTTGAGTTTTATTGAAGTATACAACTTTTACTATTCATCTATATTGTTATTAGGTAGAAAAAACATGATCCTTTTGGTAGGGGGTATGTAGCTCTCTACAAAATATAAATTATGATTATATGTTGTTTAGTTTACTGAAAATATAGTTTTAATAAATTAGTGACAAAAAATAGTTTTATTTGTGGTTGGTTTTGCTTGAATATTTTCAAGGTAAATTAAACGAATAAGCGGAAGATTGATGATGGGGATGCCAATGTGGTTTCTCATTCTTCCAAAATTACACGAGTAACTAATACTGCACGATATTTGTGGGTTCTGATCGCGATATTCTCTATTATCGTATACCAACGTACGAGGAGAAGGGTGAGAAAATGAAAGCTCTTCACTTCTTTTTATCAATTGAAATATATTTGCAAATTTTAACTTCTTCTTTTGTGTCCTTCAAAATTTTAACTTCTTTGTCACTTTGTGTGCTAAAAAATTAATAATCTCTTAGTTTATATCTTAAATGGTGGATTCGATTGATAATTATAAATCAATAAAGAAAGTACTATAGATAGCTCATTTAATAAAATTAAATTTTCATAAATAAATGAAAGATATAAAAATGTGAAAGAATATATGAAATTTGGTAAGTGAGATTACAATTCAATGTATAATAGTTTCACATACTGAATCATAAATAAAATTATAATACTAGGACGAAAAATATAATAACCAGTCAAAATTTGTCGCCCAACGGGCGGATATAAAGCTAGTATGAACTATGAAGTGTGGGGCTCAATCTGTCTCTTTATAATTCTGTGACTGTTAAGTGTTGATGAACGGTCACGACTCACGTGTGAATAATGGATTCAGGCATCGTGAAAGGGTTGGGCCAAAGCCTCATGCGGAGATTGGGAAAGGCTAGCTTGTTGGTTAGCAGGCCGACACGGGATGGGCTCTTAAGTTGACAACGATATTGATTTAGTAATAAGTAATAACATCTATCCAATATCCCACATCATGAAGTCATCTTACAAAAAAAAAAGGTTAATTCTAAAAGCGACAAAAATATAGTTTTCTTTGTCACTTTATGGACATCCCAATAAACAATCCTAGAAATCACCCTAAACACTATAAAAATATGATTAGTCTCGACCCTGAAGACACTCCACGAGTAGGGGCCTTCCAAGAGAATCTACCACCACACATTGGGTAAGCTTTCGAATGACTAGTTCGACATCTCCTTCCGTGATGAGACGATGCAATCTCTTTCATAGCAGCAAACAATTCTGCGAGGTAAGGATAAGACACACCATGAAGCCGGACTCCCGTGCTAGTAAAACCTGCCTGTCGGAGCCACACACAACAAGTCCTGACGAGCAACTGAAGGCTTAGACTGGAGTACCAAAGTTTGTCTTCAAAAGGTGTTTAGGTGGGCACTCCCATAGAGTCGGAGCCGAAGTATAGGAGGGACGAAGGAAAGCAAATGGTGCGAGTGAGAGGTAGATGGCACTTCACGGACTTGAAAATAAAATTGACAGACAAGCGAGCATGCATGTGGTTGAATAATTTCAAATTATTTTATTACGAGGTCTAGATTATCCATAGCAGATAGGCATATTACAGAATAAGGGTTTGAGATTGCACCTCTACCATAACATGACCCACCATAATCTAAAATTAATAGTCTGTGCCGAGGAAAACACGTCGCTTAAAATCACAAAGGAGCATAAGTGGATGACCGGTAGATAGTCTCTCGATGCCTCCAACAAACTGGACATTCAATAGAACAGTTTATTGCTTGGGATCGAAGATCAATTATTGCATGAAATTAGTGGAATTTAGTAGGATATTATTTCTTGGCCTTTTTTCGCATAAACAGTTAAAAGATAACAATTAATTATTGGAAATTGACATGAGGGAATACCTCTACATTTTTAGTTAATTTAAAGATTACAAGGTGATCGTCCGTAACTAACAGAAGAAAATAGGCTAGGATACCTATCGTTCTAGGGTAGTTTAGTAGGAAGCAAAGTTTTATCCAGAGAGACTATGTGTACTAGTACTCGACTTTTACCTATTATTTAGTCAATCGTTTTTAGTGATTTTTTTTAGATATAAAAGCACATGCAATGATAAAAACACAATAGAATAATTTTCAAAGTAAAATCAAGTGGAGAAGGCGTTGTCCCGCAAGTGAATCTCCCTTATATGCATTTTATAGAGGAGTTGAATTCAACATAGACGAGTGTTCATATCTTAGACCGTGAAAATTTCCAATTTAGTGTTAACCATTCATACATGTATTAACACCCTAATTTCGAATTAAGAATCAAGTGAAACCATGGCTTACAAGACTCTTAAACCAAAGCATTAATCAGATTTGTGAATTTCCGTATTAGGTTTTTAAGCTAATCCAGAGGAACTACGTGACCCCATCGCCGGTGGCCCCTATCAATTCCTTCTTTTCATGAGAGATCTAACATGGAAAATTACCTCGCAGTCTCATTTACATGTATCAACCAAAATATGCAATAGACTCGTACTATTGATACTTGCACATGATAAGTCGAGAAAAGATCGTAAGAATGAGAACAATACGTCTATGTCGAAGTTTCCAATCAATCCACATAAAACATATTAGGGTTCATCAAATCCAGAACATCTGTGAACACAGTTGTGTTCCAGGCCGAGTTCACAGCTGAACGCCATATCAATGTGTTAGCATTGCAGAGATTGATTGGCTGAATATTTTACTCAACGTGGTCTGCGAACACGGCCGTGTTGACTAGTAGGTGGACGAAACTGTCGGTTAGTCTCTTAAAACGTGCATAAAAGGTCGACGTGGCCAACCAACACGGTCGTGTTAGCACCAATGATCGGCAACTCCATAAATGTGATCTCTGCGTCGAAATGAATGTGAAACGTGATTTTGACAGTGGATACGGCCTGGAACACAACCCTATTGATGCCCACATTAACCCTTTGACACCTTCTTGAATTCTCTTGACGTGGTCTTCAACATGGCCATGTTAAAAGGTGTGTTCATGTGGACGTGGTCTTGGACATGGCCATGTTGTTGTCCATGATGACTCTTTGAAAGCTCCTTGAATTTTGTTGACGTGGTTTTCAACGTGGCCATGTTCCAGGGTGTGTCGACCTCAACATGATATATAAACATAGCCCTGTTCCTGGGTGTGTTGCCCTGAACGTGGTCTATAAACATGGCCATGTTGCTGAGTTTGTTGATGTTGACATGGTCTCGGACATGACCATGTTGCTGCCCACGTTGACCTTTTGAAAGCTTTTTAACTTTTGCAGATGTGATCTTCAACGTGGGCATGTTGATGCACACGTAGGCCCTATTGATAGCTTTTCCTTATGTTTAGAAGGATGCAGTTTGAGGTTTGACTCTGCATTGTCAATTACCTCTCTCTCTGCGATTCATCACCATAATACGCGGCGGGTTTCATATGTTGACACCAAAAGGGGACGCGTCGGGAGTGGTATGGCTCTTTCATGATATGACATTTACTACTAGTATTTACCATGGTGATACTGCTTGGCACTACATGAGATCGTGCCGCATGGTACGGAATTGTACCATGGTGGTATGAACATAACATATTGTGGGATGGTTGAACTACATGATAGTAGGAATATACGAACTGTCATTTACTACATTCATCATTGTGTACCACTAGTTACCACCCCTATACTAGGGTGGTACAGAGTGATACGTTATAGTCTTGTATTTTTTTTCCAAAGTTTGTGGATCCAATAGATCAAGAATATTTTGTTCCATCTATTAAAAATTTCCGAATTCTCGAGTTAAAAACGAAGATGGTATAGGGTGGTGAGGAATTTTTTTTGTCGAAATATATTGAAAAGGGATCTCATTTTGTAGATCACAACGAACTCTTTTCATCTGTGCAAAAAAATTTGAAATCAAAGTTAGAACGAAGAATATAAGAGTCTAATAAGAAAACTAATGAAAATAAAAATCTATTACATACCACCCCTTTGATATGAATTTTCTGAGCTTACTGAAATCCAAAAGTCTAGATTTAGTTAAGGAATGGTGCATAACCTATGCACCAAGGGTTATTCACCCTACCCTGGACCCTTTTAAATGGTCATTATTGGGAGTCTTAAAAACTCATGAATGAAGTAATAAATGGCCCATTCGGACCAACACATAAACAATTAAAGAGCCCACAAACAACCAACAACGCTAACTGGAGTGGCCAATAGATCACTGAATCTCAAGGAGCCTGAGACTCACTGGTCCACATTCGAACGACTATCACTCACGAGGCTCATGGCCCCTAAAGAAACCAATCGGCAAGGGTCTTTGGGAAATCTGGATGGGGTAAAAAACAAGACAAATCCATTTATAGGAGGGTTAGAACAAATGCATGTTTAGCCAGAAAAGCAATATTGTTTCTTTCCCAAACTCAGAAGCCTAATTTTTAATGGTGTTAAAATAGGTGGATGGATTGCGCCTGACTTCTATGAAGATGACGATGGGTTGAGCCTGACTTATATGAAGATGATGATTGTTACTATGATCCACACCTCTTCAAACACTATTGGAACGAGGGTGTTTGGTGTATGGGGAATCTACATTACCGTTACTACTCCTATGGAGATTCCTTGAGAGCTCCGCAACTACAACTAAGACTATTATACTACTATGGAGGAATCCCTCGTGGAGGAGAGCTCCGCAAACTACATAGACAAAAAGGGACTGTTGAGACAAGTTTTTTGTATATTGGGTTGTCATTGTCCTACTTGCTCCAGAAGGTAGCTTCAATTTTTGTTGCCCAAAGTCTTCAAACTGCTCTCTCCTCCTCATCCTCCTCCTCCTCCCGAAAATTAGACTTGCTTAGCCTCTACGCAAGTCAGTTGTCATTGTTAGAAGTCTCTAGACACCTCATAGTGTCATCGCGTTTCAACATTGATGGAATCGTCCAACTAGTATTTTGGATGGTATCCATGATATAAGATGGTACCATCCAAATAGTACGTTGGATGGTGCTCACTATGTGGGATGATCACCATCCAATAAGAGAATGAATGGTGTCCACTATATGGGATGGTAGCATCCACTTGGAGGTTGGATGGTATTCATAATGTGGGATGCTACCATCCGCTTTAAGGCTGTATGGTTACCTTGGGACTGGAAGCATGGTGACCAAGTACTAGCTGGTCACCCAAGTAGTATTTCATAGGGGAAAATATCTTGGTGTAAACAAATGATCCCCACAACTTAGTTCATAAGAAATCATGAACTAAGTTGTTGACACGAATTGTGCTAGGTATCAAACCACATAAATCAAACAGTGGCTTGCTGACTCGCTTGTGCCGTCACACTAGAAAGTGGCCAAGTGTAACCACCTACTAATGTTTAGTATAGCGGGCTTAGGTTCAAATGTAAACCCGGGTCCTAGGTGTGATGACTACTCCGTGAGATTCTTATTATTTAGCGGTTCAACTATAGTGAAGTTCCAACTAAACTAGCAAACAAAAGCAGTAAATGTTGTGTTCCAAGTTTGAGAGAGGTCACCCAGATATGGTTCCCCCTAGGCTGTAGTTAAGCCAAGTTGTAATTCACCTAGTCCAGTTTCAATGATAATTATATTGCTGAAGGTTTTTAGACAGTCTGAAGTCTCGACTATAGGTCTCTAGACCCTCCCAATCTAAATCCCCAGCGCGCGACTAATCTCCACCGGAGTAAACAGACTGAGGCCCTAACGTGCCAAACCTCCTCTACTTGAGTAAATCCAGTACATAATAGTGAATCGACTCCTCGAATAAATTCGTCAATTCACTACCTTCAATTAAGGGTGCTCTAACAACCTAGGCAGATATTCTCTTTCAAGGTCAAAGCAGAAACTACAGGAATTTGATCAAGATTCATGCACTTCAGAAAATAATGCCTCAATTGAATATAATAAATATCAAAGAACTTGTATTTAGGTTCATACAACCAGACCTAATATACAAATCTAGGATTCTTCATACCCAGGTGAGTTAGAGAGTTTACTCCATAGCGAGAGAAGAGAAATCTGCTTAAGATGCGGAAATCATTCTGTGAAGGATGACAATCTGCTTCTGGTAACCAATTGGCAGTTCTCCAAGCTTCCATCTAGCTCCAATGGTGTTGAAGATCGATTTAGGGACTTGGGAGTTCTGTTCGTCGCACTCTCTCTAGGTTTTATGCTCTCTTTCTCTAAAAATTGGCTTCCCCCTCTCTTTGGCTTGAAATCTCCTTTTAACCCGAGACTGGGGTCGAGGACACAATCGTGTTTTGCTTTTGTCTGCCCGTGTTTCGCCTCGTGTGCTGCAAACACGCCCGCGTCAATCCAAAACACGGTCATGCCCAAAGAGTGACACGGCCGTGTTCTGCTCCAATGACGCCGGTGTTTTGGAATCCTCAGCAACCACCACAAACACGCTCTCGGCAGTAAAAACACGGCCTGGGGAACACGGTCGTGCTTTGGAGTGGGCTGCCCGTATTTTTGCCCCAGCTTCATCGAACGACCTTCAAACACCCCGAAACTCGTGTCTTGCCCTTCCTTCGACGTTTGGGACCTGAAATGTGATAAAATAGCACAACCCAACGTAAAATAGGCCAAAGATACACGACTAGGAGCTTCAAACGGATAAGAAATAAGGGTGTAAACACGTGCAACTACATCGTTATCACTTGCATATCCATAACTTGCTCGACATTAAATCACATAAGGAGTCCAATTACCTCATGCCAAGTAAGTGAAACACGGTAGAAGGCTATCTCATTCCCAATCCAAATCTTCTAATAACATAAAGAAGAATAATTTTTCTTCACTTCATGGCTATGAGAAAGCCAACTGAATTAATTGACCTCTACATAGCTAACACATTGACTGCCCAAATCCAAAAAAACTTTTATTATTTTCCTCTTGCTTGATAAGGAACAAAAATCCTTTACGCATGACACATCTTTGCCCCACTAACAAAATAAACCATCTATACACGGACAAGAACACTCCAATTCCTCTTATATAAATTGATATTATCATCCATGAACTGGGATGGTGTACTTTTACTTGAGTCACATCATTGAAAAGCCAACTTGGATGGCTTGTTTAACACTTTTTTAATTCTATATTTTTATGACAAGAGTTGGGAAGTATCATCGCTCGTTATAGCCCTTAGCATTAACTAAGAATCCAAAGGCATACACCCATTCCCAAGTCCCTTGATCAAACCACACAAGCCATCCATACACCACGTGGCTTCCTTCTTTCAAATGAGATCTACACACTGGAGGGACATGCTCCATCATAATATTAGGTTGCAATTTCTCAAAATTTGGTCCGACACCTTTGCATGTAGCCTCATGGTTATCTGCTCGAGTTATCCCAACCAGCTCATCTAGTTGTTGACATCAAACCTTTTGGTTTTGAGCTGCTATGTGAACCATACCATTCATTCCCAAGTCTTTTGGTTTAGAAGGGTAAAAACAAGCACCTTTTATCCTTTGTTTCCCCAAATTGCTTCATGTCTACTCTTCACATTAATGAGTGGAGGGTACTTAGACTTAAAAGTCCACTGCTACTTACATGACTCACTTGTCTTTGTTTTAGACGTTAAATCTTGTTGACTCTGACACTTAGCACACAACCACCTTTGATCGTTTGTTTTACCAAGTTTTGTTGGTGCATATTGAGACTTCTTGTGCATAGCACCATGTTCACCATGTTTGGTTGACATATTACAGCCTTGTCCATCATTTTTTACATTCTTAAATGTATGCATCCCATGAGTGGATTGAGCGTATTGCAAATTGCTTGACAAGCCCCCCAATTAAACTTTTGTGGTTGTTACATGCCCCTAATTTATTCTTTGTCGTGATTTTACCTTTACCTGAGCCATGTGCAGGTTGAACTTTTGCAAGTTGTCTGACATGTCCCTCAATCCATCTTTTTTGGTCAATGACATGCCCCTCGTTCCAAACTTCGGGACAATAACCTGCCCTCTAGGTGGAGTCTTTGAATTTTTTCCAGTAAAGGTTTACGATGAAGTAAGCCAACCTTTGTGCCTTTGGATTTTTGAACGTGGTCACCATCCCAATACTGAGAAGTAGGGGTGGGCAATGGGCGGGTTGGGTGAATTTTCGTTTCAAATTGACCCACCTGCTTATTAGCGAGTTGGAATAATTGTGACCCGCAATCCACCCACATTCTTCTGCGGGTCGGGTTGGGTGGGTGATGGATGGGTGCGGTTGGGTCGTGGGTTAACCCGCAAAAGCAATTCTCCAACAAGCATTAAGAAAGTTGACTAACATTTATAATA